TCATGGAACTATCAAGAAAAGATATAAATTATTATAAACTTCTTTGTATAGTGTTCAAGACAGACACAATTGATCGTCTTGTCCATCTATGTCACATTGTCACATATGAAAGAGTAAGATGTCAACTTTTTCAATGATTGGCTCCAACTCTTATTAATAATCATTTTATAGCTAATTGCTACTGTGTTGAATAGTTAGGAGTGTAACGTTTATTGGTGTTAAAGCAAGTAGAATACGAAACATTTTCACCGTCAGTTTTCTTGTGCACCATTTGATCCCCGATAATATGATCTCCAAATTAAGTAATCAAAAGTCAGGTACCATTGAACAATCAAGATGAAGTATTTATATTTCTTGTGAGCATCACAGACACCTTCACTTTCAGGGAGTTTCAGGTTTAGCTCAAAAGAATTTTGGGAGAATTTTTAGTCGCTATCTAAGATAAACGAAGAAGTTGAATCCCAACTTATATTAGTCGTTTAACTCTAAATCTATGTGTAAGAAGATGTAGTCATGGACATTAAACTTTATCAACGATTCAGCCAAAAAAAGAAGCAAAAATAGCCTTGGTATAGAAATAATACACAATCGGGTCACTCTCTGAGTTATGAAGTCAAGATGAACATTGTAAGTGGCATGATTTTAGTTCTTTTTGCTCAAGTGATGTTAAAAACAGAAAAAACAATTTGTATTCACAAACATGCTCCAGTAATCATCTCCAATCAAAATAAATTAAGTTCAATTGCAGCGTGAAAATGCAACAAATCGACAACAACCACCTAAACATTAGACAACCCAACTGAAGTTTGATTAAAACCCGTGCAGAAATCAGCCTAACCTTGCTCTAAACTGCCAGAAATCAACCAGAAATCAGCCCAAAATCTACATGAAAACTTGCTCTGAAATTGTATAATATTCAACAGATCATAGACTTTTCCTAAGAAATGCTCCCAGCTAGATATTCCAAAGAGATCAGTTGCAACCACCCAAGTAAAAGAAAATCCTAAAATTTCAACATCACAAATGTCACAACCTAGTCAAACATCACCTAAAAAGCTCCTTAATCAAGAACCACAACCGTCACAACATGGTCCCTAATATATTGAGCCACTGACCAAAACATGCTGAGAACAACACCTCCCCCTTCCCTGTTATTTTTTCCAGCACTAAAATATGCAAAGAAAAGTGTGCGAAAGGCATCAAACTTAAGAAAAAAGAAAGAGTAAATATTAATAAAAACAAATAAGTAAAGCATTCTCTCTGATGGTGCTAATACGTACCGGCATTTGCAAATTGCATAGAGAATTGCACATGCAAATGAATTCATAAAGAAAAAAACATATGCAATCATACTTGATTAAATTTTATAACTTAAGCATTGCATAGAACTCATTGTGTATTATACAAAACCTCTCTGTTTTTGAATTACTCAATTTTTTTGTTAAATCAAATTGTTACATTTAGTATATGGTTTTTTAATACCAGATAAAGGTATTATCGAACCTGTTCTTAAAAGGTAGTAAAACATCAGAATTTAAAAAGTACAACCCAAAAACACACCTTTGCACTTAATTAACAATTGAGTCCAGATGCTTGCTTATACTTTGCAGTTTGCGCCCATCTAGGTCTTAGCTATAGGTTTTGTGGGTGTTTGTGCTGAAATCAATTGATATTATATCCTCTAACCAGAAATATCATAAAGAAGCACCTACAATCATAATGAGTATGACTAAAATGACAACAAAGGGGTTTAATAGATACACAAGTATATTTGAATAAAAAAGTAAAATGCATAATAGAGTCAAAATGGAGATAAGCTCTGTATAGAATAACTAACCAACCAAATCAAATAAATCCAAAACAAAAGTACCAACAACCTTACTAAGGCTAACACACACTTTAATTGCTCATGTATATGTACGATGTTGGATTGACAAAGCAAGTGAACTAAGCAACCGAACTAATGTTTGTTACAACAACATCAACAACAACATCCAAGCCTTAATCCCAAAAGAATTTTGGGGTCGGCTAACATGAATCAATCAATGATATCGATGCCAAACAAAACAAGTACTTGCTAAGAATTGAAACAGTGTTCTCAAGCTGGTAGCATAAGCCTTCCACCAGTCCACCAAGATCACAAATAACCGAACTAATGTTTGTTATTTAATTTTATTCGATATATGTTATTTGAGTGCTCATATATTATGGTAAAGCTAATCATTCTCAGAAATGAAACAATGACCCCCAATGATTAGAACAAAAAAATAATACTCCGTACTTTTGAAAGGGTAATAAAATGGAAGTTATGGAACCTTCGCTATCCTAATCAAGAGGAGGTCTATTCCACATTAGCCATCAACCTACCAAATCAATCTTCACAATTGATTACTAAAAGATTAGCAAGCCTCTAAGTTTTGATTGAAATCAACCAAGCCAAATAAAAGTGGAACTTAACACATAACCTTTCCTATCAAACCTCTTATCTTTTCAATATGAATTGAAATTTGAAGCAAATATCCTTCACGCCATTGATGTTAGCAAACACATCGTCAGAATAAGGGACTAAAAAAAAACATTCTTAAAAGAGAAAATAATGCAAAACCAAACCGAGCCTTCAATGTAATCATCTCAAAGCAAAACTTAAGCTAATACATCTTATGTTGAACAAATTAAAAGTAATAGACAGCAACTCACTTTAATAACCTTACTGTTAGACGCTCGACTTTCTGTCATAAAGTCATAAAACTATTTACTAATTCACATACTCAAACACTCACTATGATGGATAGTGGGTAAAACTATGTACTTGCCTATTAATAAGACTAACAATGAGCTTAAGGCAGATATTTTAAAAGGATTAGAAGAAAATGAAGATTCTTCAGAAAATCAAGGACACCAACTCTTAAGAACGTTGATAATTTTTAAGAAAACATAGAATACTAATGATAAGAATACTAAAAATATCAGCATGGTAGTTGCTTTATTTGCTAAAGGTACCACCACCAATCTCCATCATCTGGGTATAAAACAACCATCTTCCAAATTAATAACAAAGATGTTCAAAACAATTCAAAAGACATATAGAAATTCATCTAACAATAATATTAAAGATTCAACAAAATCTACTACAACACTCTATGTAAATTTAAGCATTACGTGATGATGAGTTAGGAAGGTTGACTGTAAAAAAAGGTATGGAACTTACTGGCATTGTAATGTTTTGGTCAAAATTGTCATTTTTTATTAAAAGATAAAAAATTAGTATAGCCAGAATGTTATAGTGCAGATCGAGTTAATGTTTACAAATGATAACGTTTAGATGAGCCACAACACAAAACAAAGTTAAAAATGATAAGAGACATTAAGAAAGATTGGTTGTGTATTAAAATCAAACCAAGATTTTGTAGATGTGCTAGGATAAACGAAAAAAGAAAGAGCAAGGAAACGTGCATATTGATAATTTTTATTTTGGGAGAACTATCAAATAAGCTCTCGAACTTTCATAAAAATTGCATATAAGCCCTTTTACATGAGGCTTTGTCCGGATGTCACCATTTGGGGCGGTTTCTGATGAAATTTTTTGAGCGTCTTTATCATTAAGTCTAGTTTACCCAAACCAAATTTCAGCTAAAAATTCAATCGAGAAGGCGACTAAATGATTTTCTGAAATATACTGTGTTGTCTAACTGCGCAGTTATCTTCAAAAATTCATTTGACTGCCTTCCCGATTGAACTTTTAGCTGAAATTTGGTATGCATAAACTAGACTTAATGCAGAAGATGCTCAAAAAAATTCATCAAAAAAATCCACCGGAAACTGCACCAAATGACGACAGCCGGACAAAGTCTTTTGTAAAAGGGCTTATTTGCACTTTTTATGAAACTATAAGGGCTTATTTGATAGTTCTCCCTTTTTTACTTCAGGGGTTTGGGGGAGAGGGGTTGGGGGACCTGGAGTAATCAAGGCTGAAACTCAATCCATTAAGTTTCAAACTAGGCTTGGACTCGAGTCAGGCCACCCAGCCCGTGGACCGGTCTGGCCCGCTACTGTGCGGGACCGGGACAGGTCCGGTTCTTGGGTCCGGGTCGGACCTAGGCCTGAGGGGAAGGGCGGGTCCGGGCTCGGGTCTCACATTTGGCGAACCGGCCCGACCAGGTGGGGCCCGGGCCCGGGTCAAATTGAATTTTTTTTTATTTTTGGGGTTCCACCCAGGTTGGGCTTGATGGTTAGGATGGGTTTGGGGGGTTTGGGAGGGTGGGGTGAGAGGGGGTTAGGAAAGCAACAAAAAATACCCAAACCGGAGGCCCGGACCGGACCGGACCCGGTGGCAAGAAGAATGTGTAACTGGGTGAAAAAGAAAAATAAGACAAATGGTTATGATCTATTCGAAATTAACGATTCAGATGAATTTGTACTCCTATCAAGTATAAGGGATGTTCAAATTCTTAACCAGATACTCCCACCTTGTTACAGACTTAGAGCCAGCCCCATGCATAAGATATGCATAGGAATTTCTTCTTCTGGATGCACAGCAACAGCATTTTGATGTCAGTTGGTTCCCAAATTTTTCTTGATATTCATCCAAAGGTAATTTCTTCCGAATACCTTGCCCAAGTTCCCACATAGAAGTTCTCAAAAAAAAATGTTCCCACATAGAAAGTTTTATAGTACCAGTTGTCTGAATGAAGTAGAACCTAAAGTTCTGTAGTACTGATCATTTTCAGCAGTCGGTCTCAGAAAATTGTTAATTTTACTTCAATCTTTAATTTTAATGCTAATGTCTGAGAACTGCTGTATAAATATTCAAGGTTTCTTCAACACTTCAATATGTAAAATTGTAAACTATGTTACGAAACTATTTATATATACAAAGGAGAGACATAATGATTACTGATCACTGAGATTGATCAAGGAAAAAACATTTGCATGTGAGAGAAATTCAGAAATGTATTGAATGAAGTCGAACAAAAATGAAAAAATAAACAGAAAGGCTGTTTTTGGGAACCAACATAGCACATCATAAAGTAAAAGACACCAATAAATAAAATTGATATCCTTGAAAACAATTACAGAATGACAAGCAGAAACTACATGAATATTGTCTTTCTTCACATAAACTAGTTAAACAAACAAGCACACGAGAGCATTACTGAATAAACTTCTCCAGTCAAGGCCTCATAGTTAAAACAGTTCAGAGTTGTCCGTGAGGCCCATCATGCTGAAAAGTCTTGGCATATTTATATGAGAAGCTTCTCAATGGCATTCTGAAAGCACAACAAAAATGAGAATAAAAAAATTGATTAGGCACTAATTCATATGTGCCATACAAAAGTTAGGAGGATAGTTTGCAACATCTGATATACCTTAAGTTCAGTTATTTGAGACTTCAACTGGCTTCCCTCATTGGATGTCACTGAACAAGCAATCACAGGTCGAGTAACACCACATGCTCGGCCAAGAGCTTCTTTGGATTTAACAAACACATAGGGGACATTCTAGGAGCATGACACAGATAAGAAAAGGTTATAGTAGATCGAAATGATGCATTTTAATATATTTATTTAAAACACTTGCACAAAAGAGGATATAAGAGATACAAGGGGCACTTAGAAAACAGGCCTTAAAACACATCCAATGATTTTGAACGAATGGTAACACACATAAAACATTGAACCAAAGGGATGACAACCAGTCAAATTACACTAAAGCGATTAGATTAACAATGTTTTAACCTACAAGTCAATACCTTATCTTCAGCTAGAAGCGGAAGGTGAAGAAGAATTTCGAGTGGTTCAGTGTCAGCAGCCATCACAATAAACTCAGAAATTCCCCTGTTCAGTGTCTTCGTGGCTGAAACGGATTAGAGCACATTTTGTTTACGGTTTAAAAAATGCTTATGTCAAACTGAGGAGAAAAAACGGTTTAATCTAAAATAATTAACCTTCATTAGCACCCTTTTTGAGCTGCTTAAAGTTGGCAGCTTGTGCAACCAAGTCGTGTATGACTATGGTGAGCTCTGAACCGGCCAAAGGGTATGCTTTAGGGTTCACGTCTTTTTCTGCCTTTACATGCATGCACAGATACAAATGCGTAAAGCAAAATACGGAGTATAATTATCAGCAACATAAATTACCATATGATCTCATAGTTTATCAAACTCAAAGAGACTGTACCATCGAAACCTCTGGTAGTTGAAGCCTGAAGACGGGGAGATTGGATGCGTCGACTGTTTTCGCCTTTTCGAACCACTAGGTTTTGGGGAGGCTAGTTGATGCCGTGCCCTTATGTTGAAGACGCCACTGACGAATGGGCTTCAAGGATTAGGGCCCAAAACTTCAAATTTGGGGAATTTTGATCTGTGTTTAAGAAACCGAACCGGACCGGCCGGTCTGACCCGGAACCCGCCGACCCGGGTAAATTACCGGTCTGGTACACTCAGAAACCGGAAATGGTCAAGACCCGATGGAACCGGTCAAGACCCGGCAAATGGATCATGAATCAGTCAAAATCCGACAGAATCAACCGATTCCGACCTAGTTAGAGCTTCTATTTTCTAACCTACAACTGTGGATGTACAGATAAAGAAGATGACGAACGAGAGGGTTCTCTTCGATTTCAACGGAAGCTTTGGTTTTCTAATCAAAATCACAAGAAAGGTGTAGATTGAAGAAGAATACTCACGAGTTTCGATAGATACTATAGTTTTGATTTCTTTTTCTAGATCTATGCATACTAAGTAACTCAAGAAGAAGAATTTTAAGGTCCGTAACTTACGGCCTGTTTGGATTGGGTGTTAGCGCGTGTTAGTAATGGAAATGTTAGTAAATGTTAGTAACGGCCCGGAAATTAAGGTAAGTGTAAGTGTTAAACATAACATTACCTTGTGATGGAGTATATGGCCCGGGAACCCCCGACCCACAGACTCCTACTACTCCAGCAAAGGCCCAACAGGCCCAACAGGCCCAAATCACAGCGCCCAGAGTACCAAGCAGTCCGCACAACGCACAGGGGTGCCTTCGGACCCCTGGCCGAAGGCTCCAAATTGTCACAGAGCGGGTTTCTCAAGCAAATTAGGAAACTGGGAGAAAACGGCGAAAACAGCAGCCCTCGGCACTATGAGCCCTCGGCACCAGGGTGCCATTGGGCGGGAGAGCCCTCAATTACTGCTCTATAGCCGAAGGCATCTCACTCGACAAGATATCTGCCTCACATGCGTACAGATCACCGTACCCCGCACAGACGTCCCGTCCAACAGCCGCATTAAATGCGGCCACATGCGGCTGCCAGCGCCAACCAGTTGAGGTGACCCCTCGGCCAATGAGCGCTTGACACGTGTCCCTGCCCGGCATTTATTGCTACTATAAATAGCACCCCATTTCCCCATTTGTAACCACGCTTAATACATATCGAATATACACTCTCTCTCTTACTTGTTTGCTCTGACTTCTCTCTAAGTTATTCCCCGTAATAACCCTTCGGATATATACCCCCGGGTAGACTATCCATCATTTGGTGCTCTCGTTGAGAGGTTGAACAATCGAGTAAGAAACCCTCCCCCTCGACCAAACACAAGACACCAGCCCTCTATCAAAATGGTGAGGACAACACGTGCCAACTCAAAGAACGTGGAAGACAAGAACCTGGCCCTCGGCGACGTCAACGCCCCCGAAGCCTCTCACAGGGCTCCCGAGGGTGGTGTCATCGCTGGCCTGGAACAGGCGGCTGTCGACCTACGCCTTCAGATCCAACAAAACGCCCCCGATGCCCGCCTCGGCATCGAGGCCAAGAAGAAAAACCGGAGCGATGACCAAGTCAGCCCTCCGGTTCTTACCATCGACGTGCAATCGGCGCTCTCCGCCTTCATCCAGACGCTCACCCAGAACCCGGGTGCCTTCGGCACCCTGGCTCCAGCTCACCCTCAGATCGGGGAAAATATCATACTTCCCCCTCTGCCACACCCCTTCGGAAATCCCACCCCTCGGGTGAGAAACGACGAAGGGGTGGTGGCCCAAGAAACATCCTCCCAGGAAGTTCAGTCCCGGGATCGCCATAATGACAACAGGGAGAGGCCCCGTACTTCCGCCCTCAACCGGCTCGGAGGAGGGCCAGACCGCCGAGGGGTCCAAGACCGCCTCGGGGGGAAAGCACTCCAAAGGCCCCAGGAAAGCGGGGGATCTGTTTCGAGGGCAGACGAGGAGCGTCCCCTTCGGGACAAAGGCAAGGCACCCCTTCATGCCGATGATGCTCGGCACCAAATCAACCAGGCCCACTCGGCCCGGGTTCGTTCGTAGGGGGCGGAAACCCTCCCGAGGGACCCCCGGGACGAGATTATTGCGGCCCTCCAACGCCGGCTTGACGAAATGGAGTCCAACAAAGCTCACGCCACCACCTCCACCCCTCACTCAGATCTCAAATACGAGGCCATGATGGCCAAAATGGAGGAGTTACAGAAGAAGGTGGCCGAGGGCTCCGGGGAACCCGTCATCCAGCTCCGGACTCGGACGCCATTTACCCCAAGGGTATTGGCGGCCCGGATCCCGGAGAAATACTGAGGGCAACACATACAGCCCTACAGCGGGAAAACGGACCCCCAGGAACATTACAGCAAGTACCAGAACAGCATGATGATGGTAGGGGCGTCAGACGAATATTTGTGTCGTTGGTTCCTCTCCACCTTAGAGGGACCAGCATACGAATGGTTCAACAGGCTGCCCGAGGGCTGCATTGATTCGTGGCAAGAACTCGCCCAGCGATTCTTGACACAATTTGCTGGGAAGCGTCGCACAAGGAAGCACTTCTCCCACCTCCTAACAATACGCCAAAAGAAGGATGAGGCCCTTCGGGATTTCCTAGAGCGCTGGAGGACGGAGGCCGACAAGGTCGACGGTGCTGATGACGGGACCCTCCTGGCCCTCCTACAAATCGTCCTCCGCACCGGCAACTTTTCCAGGAGCCTCATTATTGAACCCCCCCCCCCCCCCGCGACTACATAAGGGCCTTGCAGCGGGGGGGACCGGTATGCTGAGGCCGAGGAGGTGGAGAAGTATCACCAACACCCGGACCAGTAGCCCCCGAGGGCTGACAACAAGCATAACCGAGGGCCGGGGGCTCCTCCAAATCGCCCCAAGACTTCGGGACCCTCCGATGACCGCCCTCGGCAAGGCCAGGCCAAGCCCGGGGGAGGTTATAAGAGCAACCCTAAGACTTGGGCCCAGCCCATTCTCCTGGACCGCCCTCGGACACCATTGACGCACCCCGTCAGCATCATCCTCGATTTTGCCGAGGAGAGGGGCCTCGTTGAGCGCGACTCTCGCGCACCCCCGGAGGTACACGCTATCAACCCTCAGTTCCCCTACTATCGCTTCCATCGGCACCAGGGGCACAGGACCGATGACTGCCATCAGCTGAAGACGGCCATCGAGAGATTAATACAGGCGGGGCACCTGTCCCAATTTGTCCAGAGCCCTCGACAGGAGGGACCTTCTCATCAGGGACCTCCCCGAGGGCACCATACGAAGGTGAATGCCTGGGTAAATCCGAACACCATCCCCCTCGGCAAGAAGAGGGAGATCAGAAACTTGGAAGAAGAGGAGGAGGAGTACCCCCACTACCAAGAAAAGAAACGCCACATCCTCATGATCACCGGTGGCAATACAGGGGGCGATTCCACCAGCCAACGAAAGAAGTGGGCTCAATCGCTTTACGTGGGGGAAGTCACTCATATGCCCCCGGTAAAGCGATTGAGGGAGGAACCCATCACCTTCACCAACGCAGATCTCCCTCCTACTTCTTCTCCTCACAGGGATGCTTTGGTGATTCGAACGGAGATCAACGACACCATTATTCACCGAACTTACATTGACACGGGCAGCTCCGTCAATGTAATGTACCTCAGCACCTTCAGAGAGCTGCATCTGGAGAGGGGGTCCCTTCGGCCCATTAAGACCCCTCTTGCCGGCTTCACCGACGATACTATTGATTCCGAAGGGGTAATAACCCTCCCGGTGATCTTCGGCGACGGGCTCCATAGAGCCCAGCTCGAGGTGGAGTTCGTCGTCGTCAACATTGACTGCGCCCACAACATCATCCTCGGCCGGCCAGCCCTCGAGGACCTCGAAGCCATCATCTCCATGAGGCATCTCTGCCTCAAGTTTCCCGCCGAGGGGGGCATTTGCTACTCCCGGGGGAACCAAAAAATTGCCCGCGCCTGCTATCTTCAGGTCACTAAGAAGGTAAGCAAGACGGAATTCCGTGTTGACACCATCACCGGAGCCGTCGACCAAGAGGAAAGAAGGCCGAGGGCTGAACCGGCCGAGGACGTAGAAGACTTTGCGCTCGATCCGGCCCAGCCGGAGAGAGTCGTGAAGATTGGAGCCCAGCTCCCTGAAGATTTGAAGACCGGTATCACCGACGCCCTCCGCGCCTACTCCACTGTCTTTGCATGGGGGCCGGAGGACATGCCGGGAATCAGCCGAAGGGTCATCACCCACCGCCTCTCGGTGGACCCTTCGACAAAAGCAGTACAACAACGAAGGAGACCCCTCTCCGCCGAGAGGAGGGAATTCGTGAAGAAGGAGGTCGCCATGCTCCTCTCAATCAAGCACATCAAGGAGTTGAAATACCCCTCATGGCTGGCGAATGTAGTCCTCGCACAGAAGCCCCCTACCTTCCGCATGTGCGTGGACTACACTGATCTCAACAAAGCATGCCCTATGGATCCATTCCCTCTACCAAACATTGATCAATTGGTGGATGAGACCGCAGGGTGTGAAATCATGTCCTTCCTCGATGCCTTCCGAGGGTACCATCAAATATTCATGCACGAGGAGGACGCCGAAAAAACTGCCTTCATGACTCCCGAGGGCATCTTCTGCTACCTAGTGATGGCCTTCGGCCTAAAGAACTCGGGGGCCACTTACACCCGGATGGTGGCCCGGGTCTTTCAAGCCGTCCTAGGTCGCACCATGGAGGCCTATGTCAACGACATGATCGTCAAGAGCAAGCAATCTTCCAGCCATGCTGACGACCTCCGGGAAATCTTCGCCATCATGCAAAAATTCAACCTTCGGCTAAACCCGAAGAAGTGCAGCTTCGGCGTCCAAGGGGGCAAATTCTTAGGCTACATGGTGAGCCGAAGGGGTATTGAGGCCAACCCCGAGAAGATCCAGGTCATCATCAATATGGAGCCCCCACGCAATGAAAAGGAAGTTCAACGGTTGACGGGCCGCCTAGCAGCCCTCAACCGTTTTCTATCTAAATCGGCGGAGAAGTCTCTACCCTTCTTCCAGATCATGAGGAAGACGGCTGGCTTTCTATGGACTCCGGAA